TTTGTAAGTCACTTTGGATAAAAGCATCCGCTAAATGATTAAATGTAAATGTGATGGCGTTCCCCCATAGCATCAACTCCATGACGCAGCATCTTGTTCTCCTTCTCAGGGAACCCTGGATAGATACTGTACATAACCTAGTTGTTTTTAATCATTACTCACTCTTAGAAGAAAAGGTTCTATATAGAACCTTAAAAGGTTCTATCAGCGCTACATATTTGGAACCCCTAAAAGGTTCTATACACTCTTAAAAAAGGGTTCCTCTGGGTTCCATACTTGGCCAATAGAACCTATAACCAAAAAAATGGTTCTATATAGAACCATTTTGGAGTTCCATATATGAAGCGGGGGATGGAACCATTTCTGGTTCTAAATAGAACCATTTCTTCTAAGAGTGTGGAGCCTCCTCAGCACTGCAGATTTCACCCCTGTACTAAAACGAACAATATTTGCATAAATTCTAATATTTTTCAGTAAACTTTAAAAATTATTTTATTTTAACTTGACTATATTTACAATACAACAGCTTAAATTGAAACACTGTTAAACCAGTATTTATATTGCTTCTTACAGTTTTTCCTCATTAGTATTTCCCATGAAAATGCTAAGAAAGGAAATGAAATTCAACTGACCTGATAAGAGACTGGCCGTGATTGGAAGCGGCACCCGGACTAGAGGAACCAAGTCAAGAAATGACATGGACTGCACCAGCATTGGAGGCATCTGTCGGCATTATACCTATTTTTGTAAAATCTGTAAATTTCTGTAAAATCTTGACTCTTAAGAGGAGGGGAATATTTTTATTTCAAGGTTTATAAAGAGATTGCACTTTTTGTTGACTAGTGTGCCGTTAAAGCGTAGAGAAATTAGACCTAAAGTAACACATTTGGCAGAAGATAAAAACTGGTAATGTTTTGAGAGAAGTATCATGTGCTTGAATAAAAAGGGAGTGCCCAGCTTCTAGGGGAGCAAACTGTCCTTAAAAACCTTGTGTTCCGATACTTTGAAAGAACTGGTTGGGTGAAAGAGATCGGGCAGCAATAGTAATTAATCCCATGCCCTCATCTACAACATAAAAAAAAACTGTTTATATCTGCTTGCAGAACCGTATGATGTGCAATGAATGAAATTATACATGGTCTGGAGAATAGTTATGTCCCTCTCCAAGATGATGCAGATGAAAAATGACCTAACACAGGGATCGTAACATGAGCAGAATATAAATGCTTTCAGGACCTCTACAAGAAACTCATTGTGGAAAACCTGAACTAAAAGAAGCCGAATGATTCAACCCGTAATGGACAGGTTGTGTAGTTCTTGACCATCATTAAACATTAACATGAAACATCACCATATTCAACATCCCACTCCTCAGAGCTAGATGCAGCCAACCAATGTGGAGCTGGGGAGATGAAGGCCCATGGTGGAGCCAAAAGGATGGAGGACCACAGTGAAGGTTGGAAAAGGGCGGCTAGGGCGACAAGAAAGGTTAGGGTCCAGGCCAAAACTAAGGAGTCCACCAGCCAAGGAGAGAGAGCTAGAGACATCCAGTGGGGATGTCTCTAGACACTTTTTACTGAGGGACAAGCCCCAGAGAAATACTGCTGTACCCCAATAAAATATTACTGACATGTAAATGGAACGTACACTTTACTAAAGGATTATTAGGAATTTCTCATTACTGCAATTATCCAATCAACTAATGACATGGCAGTTGCTTAAAAGTATTTAGGGGTGTGGTTCTGGTCAAGACAATCTCCTCAACTCTAAACTGAATGTCAGAATGGGAAAGAAAGGTCATTTAAGCAATTTGGAGCGTGGCATGGTTGTTGGTGTCTGAGTATTTCACAATCTGCTCAGTTACTGGGATTTTCACGCACAACCATTTTTAGGGTTTACAAAGAATGGTGTGAAAAGGGAAAAACATCCAGTATGCGGCAGTCCTGTGGGCGAAAGAGCCTTGTTGATGCTAGAGGTCAGAGGAGAATGGCCCGACTGATTCAAGCTGATAGAAGAGCAACTTTGACTGAAATAACCACTCGTTACAACCGAGGTATGCAGCAAAGCATTTGTGAAACTACAACACGCACAACCTTGAGGCGGATGGGCTACAACAGCAGAAGACCCACCGGGTACCACTCATCTCCACTACAAATAGGAAAAAGAGGCTACATTTTGCAAGAGCTCACCAAAATTGGACAGTTGATGACTGGAAAAATGTTGCCTGGTCTGATGAGTCTCGATTTCTGTTGAGACATTCAGATGGTAGAGTCAGAATTTGGTGTAAACAGAATGAGAACATGGATCCATCATGCCTTGTTATCACTGTGCAGGCTGGTGGTGGTGGTGTAATGGTGTGGGGGATGTTTTCTTGGCACACTTTAGGCCTCTTAGTGCCAATTGGGCATCGTTTAAATGCCAAAGCCTACCTGAGCATTGTTTCTGACCATGTCCATCCCTTTATGGCCACCATGTCCCCATCCTCTGATGGCTACTTCCAGCAGGATAACGCACCATGTCACAAAGCTCAAATCATTTCAAATTGGTTTCTTGAACATGACAATGAGTTGACTGTACTAAAATGGCCCCCACAGTCACCAGATCTCAACCCAATAAAGCATCTTTGGGATGTGGTGGAACGGGAGCTTCATGCCCTGGATGTGCAGCCGACAAATCTCCATCAACTGCAAGATGCTATCCTATCAATATGGGCCAACATTTCTAAGAATGCTTTCAGCACCTTGTTGAATCAATGCCACATTTAGGGCAGTTGTGAAGGTGAAAGGGGGTCAAACATGTGTTTGCAAAAAGATCTGAAATTGTTTGTGATTCAGTTTGATCACACACTGAATTGTTTGTAATAGTTTCTCACATCACAATAGAAATGGGAAACTTCATAAGAAAGCGAAAAGACGCACATATACATTGTAGGATTCAAAACGTGCAAATGTATTCTGTCATTTGTCAATGACGGTAATAATGAGAAACAAAAACAAAAATAAGAAAAAAAGAAATCTGTCCGCTTTAATAATCAACCACTGTGAAATCAAAATGCTTAAGTGACTCCTGAAGTGGCATTCTTCTGCTAAAAGTTATAGTCCCTGACATAACAGAACATGATATGCAACAAAAATATGCATGATGATATGATAAACAGGTGTTTTGTATCATGTTGTTTTAATGTTGTGGATTTTAGTTTTGCCGAAATACTCTGTTGACCAATCAGAAGCCTGGAACGAACGTACAAACGTTTATACATTAAATATTTTTCTATTTGTTTTAGCATTTTCCAGAACAGTAACTACTACTCTTAAGACGCACTAAGACACATGATTTCTCTTGTATTTTTAGTGATGGAGGTATCCACAAGGAATCAAGGTAATGGAGCACAAATAAATAAAGGACAAATGGGGTCTTCAAACGCCTCAGGTGTAAAGTTATTCGCTGTCAAAGTGACGCCAAAATGAATGGGAGACTTTTTGGGAAAGATTGGGAGTCAATGGAAATGCTAACGCAAGTGAAGTTCTGCTACGAGATGGCAGCTCCCGCGAGGCTTCAACTTCCGGTCGATGGAGTCCCCTTGACCTAAACCCACGTAATGGGGAGGTTTAGGGGCGGGGTCAGGGCTTGGTCATTAATATGAATTGACACGAAAATTTGGTAACTCGTATAAATTAGCAAAAATCTTACGAATTTTTGCGAGTGAGATCGTATGAATTCGTACAAATTAGCCACCTCGTAGCCACCTTGGCTCTGATGTTCAGAGAAAGGCCATGGTTTCCTGTTACCACAGCAGGAGAACTTCTCTGGCATCACCTCACACCTGGAACTCCAGATGAGTGATGGCTCTGATCCGTCACACTTCATATGAGACACGGTTATGCACGATTATATCAGTGATCCTAAATGTTGTTATTAGAATCATAGTGCATGGCTTTAAAACTTCAGTAAATAACACAACAAATTGACTCTTTTTACCAGATGCAATAATGTATAAAGTATTATTTATTTCATGAAAGTACCACAAGATGGCAGCACAAATCTACAGAAAAGGGGAATTAACAACAGTAATGATAATTATTATTATTAATCCTGAAATTTTTATTATTCTTAACCTATTATCTTTTTCAGATTTAATCCACACCTTCTCACACATATTCATTCACTTCCTAAAATTAATTCACTTGATTGAATGATGTGAACAGGATTGTGATCAAATGATTTACTAGTAGTTTTAATAAGAATGCATTTGATTTGAAGATAATGGCAACATGATGACAGCATCCCACCTTGTGCCATTTACCTGATCAATCTTCAATCCTTATTTGTTTGTTTGCTTAAAAAAAATATGTGCGCTCTCTCTGCCTTAAAAAAAAAAAATCATTCCCCAGAATTTATATTTTGTGTGGCAGTGCTAATCTGTTGCACATATAACTACACACGTTGTTATGGTAACTCTTTTGCAGGCATCCCACGGAAGGAAAAAAAAAACATGATGCAGCATAATTGTGAATAAACAATATGGAGGTGGGGGACATGTTGTGGCAGATCTTGTGCTATGTATTCCTGCACACACTTCATGTTCACTGCAACAACAAAAAAGGTAAAATATTTGCTACATTTTTGCCGTGAGCTATATGCACAGAGGGTAAAAATGACATTTGTATCAAATTATTGTGCGCTTTCCCTTTAAGTGATCCCACTGGGTTGGTCTCATATGAGAACTAAATGACGAATCATACTATGGCGAAGGATTAATTCATGAATATAAATATAGTCGTACTTGCATTCCCAGTAATCGTCTAGGCACGTAATCTAATTAATATGTATAAGGCAACCTTCACCATATTTGGAATAAACAATTCGGAAGCTGGCGAACGCTCGCTTACCAATGGCTACCCTTCAGCCAATCAGTGAGGGTTGTTGGGCGAACGTCGCGGTACGTATTTAATATTCATGAGCCAAGGAATCCCATAGTAGGTTTTGTGAATACGGTGGGCTTTAATTAAATTAGAGTCGGTGAGCTGGGATAGGCTGGGAGTTCACTCGGTCCAGACTGCAGGAAATCCGACGTGGACTATAAACCCGCAGAAACGGATAGACAAACAAGCGAATGACTATAAATCCATGCGGAAAACTTTATCCGATTTTCTGCTGTGGCTCTGAGGTTTTCGTGTATCTGTTTTTAGTCTGAGAGAGTGTTACAACATGCCACGGCGGACTGTACTAGAAGTAACTGTTCAAGACGTGCAAAAGAGGAGAAACCCCAACAAACACTATGTAAGTTGACACCGATTGACATCTCTAAATACTTGTAACGAACTTTTCCTAATGTTTTTTCTCCTAATGAAAGTGTTCAGGGATGTATTTTACGAATGTTTCTCTGGTTGGTCTGAACAAAGAGGCTGGAGATGTGATCAGGAGGATCAAGTTACACACCAGCACAACACGCTCAAAGAGTTGATCTTTTACATGTATCTCTTTATTTCTGTTAGTGTTGCACAGTATTAAACTCCTCAAGTGTCAAGTAAAGTCTCCTGACAGCTGTGGGTAGTAAGGCATCTATACTGCAGTGATAGGGTCAATCCAGATGTTTTCATATCTGCATAAATATAACAAAGACACTTATTAGTCTATTAACTTGGACTGTATCTGTTTATATATATATATATATATATATATATATATATATATATATACATACATATATATGTGTGTGTAAAACTTGTCCTGTTCACCACACCCTTAAAGTTCTGAACACCCCATAACCTCCTGCTATTGAATGCTGCCATTGGTTCGGCTTTTCCAGTCCAACAAAGCCAAAGTTTTGTGTATTTAAAAAAAAAAAAATCTTTTTCAACTTAAGTTGGTATTATGTTTTGCTAAAATTTGTGTTTTTAATCTTTTGGCTGAATAAACTTGCTTATTTTACCGCTCACTTGACACATTTTTAAAAGCTACTTAAAATGCATGTCAATCTGACCAACTCTGCTCTATAGCTCAAGGTTATCAGTTTGATTTATCATGTAGTTATATTCCCCAGATTTAGACCCTTTTGCTTTCTGTGATTTGATACAGGGGTGAATTTCACTTAAAGGAGTAGTTCAGTTTTTAAAAAAAACTTTTGCTGATAATTTACTCACCCCCATGTCATCCAAGATGTCCATGGTTTTTGATGAAAACATTCCAGGATTTTCTCTATATAATGGACTTCAATGGGGTCCAAATGAGAGTTTCAGTGCAGCTTCAAAGGGCTTTAAACGACACCAGACGATGAATAAGGGTCTTATATAGGACCCTTTGCGTCATGACTCGAAAAAAGATTTTGATGAACAGGAGTCATGAACGCATATCACAGTACAGAGCAAGGCGAGCATTTGAGCTTATAAAACTTAAACTTTTATTTATTTTTGAAATGACCGGTGGTTTCGCTTGATAAGACCCTTATTCATCGTCTGGTGTCGTTTAAAGCCATTTGAAGCTGCACTGAAACTCTCATTTGGACCTTGAACCGTTTGGTTCCCATTGAAGTCCATTATATGGAGAAAAATCCTGGAACGTTTTCATCAAAAACCTTAATTTCTTTTCGACTGAAGAAAGAAAGACATGGACATCTTGGATGAAATGGGGGTGAGTAAATTATCAGCAAAAGTTTATATATATATATATATGAAGAGTTCAGATGCAAAAGCCTCTAAATGCCATTTGAAATTTTCTTCTTTAATAATGCTTTTTATCGAAATTGTATATTTAAGTTCAGTAATTTCACTTAAATAACTATTAATAAGTAATTATCATTCCCATTTAAGTGAAATCACTGAACTTAAATATACAAGCTTGATAGAAATGATCATTCTAGAAGAAAATTTCAAATGGCACTTAGAGGCTTTTGCATCTGAACTCTTCATATATAAAGTGAACTTCTCCTTTAATTTGTCAAATTGTCAAAGTCATATTTCACTCCAAATATGAAAGTTATTTATCTAAAATGAAATCTCTAAGAATATTTCAGTAGTTGATATTTATACATTATGGTTTTATTTGTTAAAAATGCTAAAAAAAAAACATTTATATTACAATTAGTTGTTTCCTATATGACAGTAAAATGACTGTAAATAATGAGTAGCTAATTAGAATCCCATATTGTGAATGTTAAGAATAAATAATGTTAATTTTATGTGATATTTATCTTCGTCATGTTTTCAAAATTTTAATGCATGTATGTGTAAATATTTAGACAACGTAGGAAAAATAGTTTAATCATATAAAACGAACAGTAAAATATAGAAAAATAGCCCATTTGTTTAAACTAAACTAACTACGGTTTTAACTATTAACTTGTTGACTACTGATTTATTTTTATGGTTTGTAGGCCCCAAGCTGTCAAACATTCATTTAAACACATTTAATCCATTTATCCTGTTAAATTTGTCTTCACTTAATCTTAGTCCAGAGTAAGTCGTATTGTAACGCACACCGTTGAAAATAAAATCTACAACACAATAAAACTGAAATTTGTTTTGGTGTGATGAAAGAGTGGTGGCAGTGACAGCGCTGACTATAATAATCACGTCAAGGACAGTATTAGCTAGTAAAACTGTTGGCAAAAAAACATAATATTAATCTAGTTATTCACGTTCTACTCTGTAATGCATGTTTTTATATGTCGAAAACTTATTTCACTATCTATTGACAGAAATGAATCCTGTGTGACCTAAATAATTAAGGGATAAAACCTATCCCTATACTGGGGATGAAATAAATGTGGAGGCAGGGAAATCCCACTACTCCCGCATGTATGCATTTGATTTGACTGTCATTTTTACTCATAGTGAATTACTGTACATTTTAAAGGGATAGTTCACCCAAAAATGAAATTTATCCCATGATTTACTCACCCTCAATCCATCCTTAGGTGAAAATAAGTTTCTTCTTTCCGCCAAACACAATCAGAGTTATATATAAATTAGGGCTGTCTAACGATTAATTGCGATCAATTGCATCCAAAATAAAAGTTTGAGTTTACATAATATATGTGGGTGCTCTGTGTATAATTATTTTGTATATATATATATATATATATATATAAATACACACACACACACATGCATGTATATTTAAGATTTTTTATTTATGTATATATAAAATATAGATTATATATAAATCTATATACAGTATATACATGAAAATATTTCTTAAATATATACTAGCATGTGTGTGTATTTATATATATAAAATAATTATACACAGTGCACCCACATAAACACAAACTTTTATTTTGGATGCGATTAATCGCAAATTTGACAGCCCTAATAAAAATATATCCTGGCTCTTCCAAGCTTTATAATCGGAGTGAATGGTACCTTAGATTATGAAGGCCAAAGTGCATCCATCCATCATAAAAGTAATCCGTATGACTCCAGCAAAACCATGCGTTTTTTTAGAAAAACAGCCATAACTTTATAAACAAATCACTGGCTTCATGTAACGTCTGTACATGAGTCTACTTCCGGCGGAAGAGTGACCTCTGACCTGACGCATCCCATAGGATGTAGGAGTAGCGTACGCTTCTCTCGCGGTTCAAACAAACTCGAGCTCCTGCCAAACTTCTCTTTAAAAAATCTTAATTCTTGACCAGTGTTTTATACGTCATGGTGGGGTCATAGGTCACTCTCCTGCTGGAACTAGACTCGTGTATGGCCGTCTGTCGGAAGCCAGTGATTATAGTTCATAAAGTTATAAATATGGATATTTTTCTTACACATGCACTCTTATTAAGTCGTATGGATTACTTTTATGATGTGGATGGATGCACTTTTTTGGGCTTCAAAATTTAAGGCACCATTTACTGCCATTATAAAGCTTGGAAGAGCCAGGATATTTTCTAATATAACTGATTGTGTTTGTCTGAAAGAAGAAACTCTAGGATATACCTAGGAGGATAGCTTGAGAATGAGTAAATTATGGGATAATTTAAATTTTGGCTGAACTAACCCTTTAAGTCTACATTTTGCCAGTAAATGTGCTCCCTGGTAATAAAACCCATGACCTTGATCTGTTTTGAGCATGTTGTACCAGTCGAGCTCCGGGGACACAAGTTAGTTTGTCATTTAAAGGAAAGTTAGAAGTTATTTTAGTCTTAGATTTACATTTGACTTGTACTCATTTAGCAGATGCTTTTATCAAAAGTGGCTTACAAAAGAGGAGAACAATAAAATAAATTAAAACAACATATAAGTGATGTGAGAAGTCCCAGTTAGTCTAGCACAGTTCACAAAGCAAGTCTTTAATTAATAGAATATAAAGGGTTATTATTAATGGGTCACTTTTCATTTCGGTTCTGCATTTGTGTTACTGCAATTTCTAGTTGGTATGAGTCACTAATTTTAAAAATAATGGAGCAGGCTTTACGTCATTCAGAACAAAACCACATGAACGCAACAGCTGCCCATGTGCAAGCAGAGTTGTGTACAATCTGATGGCATCCTCAGTAGCGTTTCTCTGAACAGCATGATCTAGGAAGCCACAATCGAAATCAGTGTTGTGAAGAGCCATTATAGACACCAGTTACCCTGAGAAAACTCTTAGCTAGTGTTGAATGCAAGTCGATTACTATAAACGCCTCTAATACCCTGCGGCACACGCTCTATAAAACACTGTATCGAGTTACTGATACTGATCAATAAAGGGTGTGTGGAAAATCAACATTATTATAAATAAATATAGCTGCAAGCAGCAATACCAGGGCCAAGCACAAAAAAGACGACAAAACATGCCAACATGTGTCAGACCAACTGCAGCAAGGAGCAATTGAAGACATTTAAAGATGAATTTAGGCAAAATGGCTTAAATTATAAATACAGTAACTTAAAATGATTTAATGGTTTATCACTTTCGAACAATAGGTGGCGCAGTTATGAAATCGATACATTGTGATCAGAGTGAGGTGACAATGACATACAAAGTTTGGTGTCAAAATGTGAAGGCATTGCAGAGATAAAGCCTAATAGTCATTTTGGCAGCATGCCTCAAATTTGATGCTGTGGTATACGAGAACGGTTTCGTCTATCGTCACGAAATCCATCACTTTTAGTCGGCACGGTCTGGAGATGATATGATTCCATTTTGGTTAAAATCGGACCAATGGTCTAGGAGAAGTTCGAAAAAGAAGGTTTTTTTAAAAAAAATAAAGATGGTGGACAGGAAGTTTGGCTGATTATGGCAAACCTGTTATCTATGTTTTCAGCATAACCCAAGAAATCTATTAAGATCAGTGTCATTACAATAGGCAAATTTATTCAAAAGTTATCAGCATTTTTGGAAATTAATTATAACTTTTGACCAACAGGTGGCGCTGTCTCAAAATCTTTAGAGTACCTTCAGAGCATGCTGCTTATGGCACACACTGAGTTTCGTAATGTTAGACCAATGCATTTGTTAAGTATAGCATTTAAATCACAATACGGTATTGAATTCAATGGGAATTTCACGTTTTGTTACATTATAGTCCCAACATTTTTTTTGTGTGTCCCCATACACGTGTCTGCCAAATTTGGTGAAAATATCTCAATTTGCTTCAGAGTTATAGACGTTAATGTGAAAAAAACACGTAAAAAATGACTGACACGTGACCTTGATTGAATTTTACTACCTGTTAATATCAATATTTGGCATTTGGGCATTAGTTTTTAGCCAGCGACCTGTGATTCCAAACTTCTGACAGTGGTTTCGTCTCGATCGGACTAGCGGTTTTGAAGATATCGCCAAATGTTTTTTAAGCGCTAAATCGCAACGCTACACAAACCGTAAGACAAAACCTAGCAGGTTTGGTATCTGTGGACTCGGCAACAATTCAGGAACTCAACGAGATGACTCCCGCGAAAATAAGTCAACCACAGCCAGAGTTATAAGTATTTGAAAAATAAATTTCAGCACTAGGTGGTGCTGTATTTCTATATTGCTCAGAGAAGCATGATAGGTAGGAAGGCAGGACGTTTCTGGAGGATAGAGATCGAGTTACACATCACCACAACATGCTGACAGAGTTGATCTTTTAGTCTTTATTTCTGTTTTACTGTCGTATAACATTTGTCAATGTCAAATTGTCGATGTCGTTTGTCAAATGTCGATACGCAAAATCAAATATTTTTCCATGAATCTGTTTTTAGTGCCCTCAAATCTTAATGCATGTAAAAATCTGTTTTGACAATATATTTTTGTTCCGTCTATTGGTTGGTATTTCAATCATTGTAATTTTGAGAGTGAATCCTGCATTTGCATGTGGTTGTGACTTTTGAAACTTCGCAGAAAAACAAAACTATTATTCAAATTCTGAATGGATTATAAAGCTTGCAAAGAGCACTCTGTAACATATCTAAGTTTATCGCTGAACGATTGAAAGATTTTAAAAGCTGTAACATATCCAAGGTTATCACGGAAAGATATGTATTTCACTTATCTTCACTGTAAAAAAAAATAATCCTGTAAAAAAAAAACGGTTAACTACTGGCATCTGTGGTTGCCAGCATCATACCATAACAATACGGTGTGTTACTGTTTTTAAAATTAACAGCTAAATATCGTATTGTCAGCTACTGTACACTGTAAAAAATAATACTTAAAAAAACGGTAAACTACTGGAAGCTGTGGTTGCCAGCATCATACCGTAACTATATGGTGTGTTACTGTTTTTGTGTTAGAGCATATAGCCGTTAAATTAAAGTTTTATATTGTAGCTGACAATACGGTATTTAGCTGTTTATTTCAAAAACAGTAACACACCGTATTTTTATTTTCATGGTATGATGCTGGCAACCACTGCTGCCAGTAGTTTACCGTTTTTTTTTTTAAACAGGATTATTTTTTACAGTAAACTTTAATTTAACAGCTATATGCTGTAACACAAAACAGTAACACACCGTATTGTTATGGTATGATCCTGGCAACCACAGCTGGCAGTAGGTTACCGTTTTTTTACAGGATTAAACCAGGGAGATAGAATTTAGTAGGGACGCAAGGGACATGTCCCCATAGATATCCGTAATAAAGGCTAGATGTCTTACAGCGGAGTCTCTATCGTCATTACCGTCGGCCATCTTGTCACAGGCAAGCTGATGTAAGATGAGTGATCAGCACGAACACAAATACTCTTATCTCGTTGAAATCTTGACAGATTTACAAACGGTTTGGTTTCTACTAACGTTATTAACGTGGCTATAATTCTGGATGATTATTTATATACACTTATTATTCATAAGTGTGCAGTGTTATACCTACATCTTTGACGTTTTTAACAAACCAACCCGTTTGAAAAAACCTCCAGTTGGCTGTTAACCACTGCAACCAACTCAAATCAGTGAGTGAATTAGTCTGATTCATGAACCGATCGTTTAGATTTGGGTCACACCAAAGACACATTCAGTGTGTGATGACTTAGTTTTAGTCAAAGCTGTCACATGGCTTCAGATTGAATGTATTGCACAGGTTGTTGGAGACACTTTTTAATCCATAAACTGTTAATGTGGGTTAACTCTCATTTTCTTTCCTTTTTTACTGTAGGTTTACATTATCAAGGTGGCTTGGTCTGATGGCAGCACTGAGAATATTTTCAGGCGCTACAGTAAATTCTTCGACCTTCAGGTGAGTTGTGTACTAGTTCTAGTACTAGTTAGGCCTACAGTATACTAACGTGATCATAAACATGTGAATGAAAATATAATGAGTCCAAATATTAGCATCCTCTTTGCTAACATTAAGCATAATGGAAAGCTTGATGGCATGTGCAGAACTAAAAGCTTAGTAGTTGGAGAGATCAACATGGATTTCACTGATGGCCACCCAATTGCTGAAGTTTATGTGGCAGGAATTCAGTGGTGCAACAGGAAAAGCCATCATCATATTCATGGCTCTGTTCGAGATAACAGTGTAGAAACTTACTTACGATATAGGCTAATTTGAGTATGCTTATGCGGCAAGACCGGTGAACTGGATTTTGGCCTATTGGTGGAAGTCTGCCCTTTCCAATATGGCGGTATCAGCATTTAAATCGTGGCGTTTACCTTTTGTTTGTTAGGTTTTCCGCTTCAGGTAAACTGCAGCAGATTGTTTGCATGTTGGTCATTTGGTTTATGGTAAGATTGGCTACATTTAGATCCTGACAGGCTATGTACCAGTATTTCAGACATCATCAAAATTAAAGTTAACTTGAAGAAATTGTGACTGAAATATACTACTTTTGTACAGTAGAATGTACTAATAAAAGTAATAATAGTAATATTAAAACATTTTGGGTATTACAATCATGAATTTTGATTAATGTACACTGTCCCTTCTTTAAACAAATAATACAAATTACTTAAATAACTTTATTAGGAATATCACACACTTTGCCAAAAAAAATTTACTAGGTAAATTAAATCGTTAAGTTTTTATGCCTACATTTGATTGCCAATGTTTTTGATAATACATAGCCTACTGTATGTAGGCCTATTAAATCATAAATCCATAAAAAGTAAAACAGACAACACAGAATGTCTGAAAAAAAAAAGTTTCATTGGGCCTTAAAATAATTGGCACACTGAATGTTTTGATTCATAAGGAACTTCATGAGTTGTGCAATGACATCTCGTCCAAACTCACATTGTCCTCTTAAAGAAAATAAATGCCATGACTAAGAGGCCAAAGACTTTTTAAGCCCCAATGAAACTTTTTTTTCAGACATTCTGTGTTGTCTGTTTTATTTTTTATGGATGTATGATTTAATAGGCCTACATATGTATTATCAAAAACGTATGAAGTTCCTTATGTGACTCAAAACATTCAGTGTGCTGTACATTTAAGACCGTCTTAAAGGGGTGGTGGATTATGATTTCACTTTTTTAACTTTAATTACTGTGTACTGTTTGAGCATAGACAACATCTGCAAAGTTACGAAGCTCAAAGTTAAAAGGAAAGGAAGATATTTGCTTATAAAGAAATCGTGATGGTAGGACAAACGGCTGGTAGGGACCACACGACATTCCTCCCAGGTTAGTGACATAACCAACCATAAAATTTACATAAACCCCGCCCTCAGGAATGCGATTTACAGATTATTATAATAGAATATGCTAATCAACGACTAGAAGATAACTACACATAATAAGCTAAATAAATTCATCAACTAACCATTCAGAAATGTCCTGTTGCATTCTGCTTCTTGAGTCTCTCCATTATTGTCTGACTCATTGTCTGACTCTCCAACATTGAAATTTTCAGTGCATGTCTGTGTGAGGTAAAAGGACACAAGCTGTGGTAGCTCCGCCCCCTGTGCTGGGAGCAGCAGCTCATTTGCATTTAAAGGGACTGATACAAAAACTGTGCGTTTTTGTTCGCCCTCAAAAGTGACTATTTGAACATGCTATATAAAAATATCTAAATACAAATAACATTTTGAGCTAAAACCTCACATACTTCACATACATCTTGTGAAAAGGGCATTATACCACCACTTTAACAAAGAGGCTAAGTTTAAGGTCCAAAGACTGCACGTGTACCTGAATAATAGACTATATTAATACTAATATCTAAAATCTGAACTTCTTTTTGCTGGTGTACATATGTGTTGACACTTCTTCTCTCCAACTATAGGAGCCAAAAACTTGCAAACAGTTTATCACGGAAACCCTCTATTATTAGAAGCACTTACCACAACTGAAGCTACTCACTAAATTTGGACAATTGGTCAGAAATCCCCACTGGGAGGTTTGCCACAGCTTCCTGAAAATGTTACTGGATCTTTTTCCTGATGGGCAATTCCACAGAAATGTGACCCATACCATGGAGAAATCAGATTTTTAGCAAATGAATAAAAGCCCTTCAAATAATTCATAGGTCTGAAAATGTTAACTGTAGTGGTATAATGGATTACATTTTTTTTATATTGTAATATTATAATACTTTATTCACCACAAGAGCTGTGCATCAATATTAATTTCTATAGAACCATGTTTTCATAAGTAACATTTATAAAAAGCTAAGTTAAATGAAGTTCCCTTTCGAGGGAACTCAACACCACGTCAGATTGGCGCTATGGGAACGCCTCTGCGTGGGCCAGTGTCTGAAGCGTGTGTGCCAACAAACCAATGAAATTGACCTTGAAATAGTCAGGTCACGAATGGTAATCGAGTCAGTGAGGCTATAAATAGACGTTCAAACATGTGTCATCATCTTCTTCGTCTTTAGGAAGCCTCTTTGTTTGATGTGTGTGTGTGTGTCATTGTTTGTCCTTAGATTCCATCGGTTAGGAGTACTTATGGCAAGTAAAGCATTTAAAAGATGTGTGCCTCCTTGCACACACTTTCTGACAGAGGACGATACACACGATTTGTGTTTTGGGACACACAACCTTTGTTTGGGAGAGGTCTGATCTCTTGAGAGAGGTGGCTGCCCATATTGTGAGTGTTTTACCCTAAAAAAACCTCTGCTCTTGCTGGGATCTCTTTGATGATGATGGAAGCCTGTGGTTTAGGTCCTGCGGATGCTAAGGCAGGTCAAGCTCTGAGTTCTGAAAGATCTGAGACGGGAATTCCCATTTCTCAGTCGGCACCCGCTAACTCAGGAGTTGTCAGGGCAGACGTGAAAGCCTGCTCTGTGGCTTCTTCCAGTCTGCCTGAGAACATAATAATGGCCCGAACTGACTTCGAGGAGTCTAATGTGTTTGAAGTTGAGGTGGAAACAATTCCTTCTTTAGCTCGAAGTGCCACCAAACGGCCGGTGTTATTGGCGTTCTATGGTTGAACCTTTCGGGGATCAGGGAGAGAGATAAAATGACTCTTCTGGACTGCCTGGTTTTGCCATTTGGCCTCTTTGGCACTGCAGTTGAGAGTAGCCAAGAGGTTCAATTGGCTGCATTCAATATGTATGTCCTCATGATGGCTACAAAAGAGCCTCCAGACCCCAACCTAGCACCAGAGTTTGAAGAAATGGTCAGCAGGCTATCTTCCAGGAGGGATCCGAGAGAGTCTTAGATATAAAGAGATGGACCTCATCTTGAGATGTTTTATGGCCCCCATTGGGGTGGAGGTGACAATTGGACGTAGACATACAGGGGTTGGACAATGAAACTGAAACACCTGGTTTTACAACACAATAATTTGTTAGAATGGTGAGGGCCTCATTTTGCATCCAAATACAGCACCAATTCATCTTGGGAATGACAGATAGAAGTCCTTCACAGTGACCAGAGGGATTATGAGCCGTTCCTCTTCCAGAACAGTGTCCAGGTCACTATATGATGCTGGTGGACTCGCTCCTCCAAAACACCTCAATAATATTTAGATCTGGTGACTGTGCATGTTCAACGTCACTTTCATCTTCATCAAACCCTTCTGTCACAAGTCTTGCTGTGTGTGTTGGTGCATGATCATGCTGATACACGGTTTGAGCATCAGGTGCTCATGATCCTCCAGAAGGGTTTGGTAGTCCTCGGCAGTGTCGTGTCCATCAAATACAATCAGGATTGTCATGATATTGGAGCTCAAACCATCACTGATCCACCCGTGCTTCACTCTGAAGATTGGCCGCCAGGCATATAGATGTGAAACATCCAACATTGGCCAGTGTTTCAGTTTCATTGCCAACCCCTGTAGCTTGTTGCAGAATTTTTCCAGTGCTGGAGGAAAAGGGTGGATTAATAAGCAGAGAGATGGGAGAATCCTCATTTAGTTTTTTGACTGCCTCCTCAGGACTGTGCTTGAGGTGAGAGTGTACACTTCCTTGTTGCCTTTGTTGTACGCTCCTTTTCGGAGTGGCGACAGAGTTAAGATAATCGATTGAGAACCTGGAGATAGTAGCGGTGCAATAGCCAGTTGGGAGATCCCATGGTTTTAATCATGTTAGTAGTTTTTTTATTTATTCTTTTGCCTCCCTGCTTTCGGAAATGAGTACAGTCCGAGGATGGTAGAGCCATAAGTAACCCACTTCCATGGAAGCTGTTGGCCTGATGTATGTATAGCTGAGGCCTCTCTAGCTCCCGATAAAGTAAGTTCCAGCACTGGAGCTTGAAGTGAGAGTATGAATGTAGAAGCATCAATTTCAATGCCCTTCCTCCGAGCTGGCAAGGGACTGCGTAGACAAATAGGTACAATGCCATACAGCTTGTCCCTTAAAGGCCGGAGGTATGAGCCTTTAAGATGACGCCCCAGTGAAGGGAATGGATAAGTAGAGAACGCTACTCTTCTTTTTGCCCCTCCGACAGGTCTAGCTCGGAGGTGATCGTGCAGGCTGGGTTCGGCTCGGTTGCAAGAATACCTGCCCTCTTCCATTGAAGTTGTTAGAGATGCACCAATATGAACATTTTGGCCAAAACCGATAACCGATAATTCTTTATATTTCAAAGCCGATAACCGATATATTGGCCGATAAATCTAAATTTAAATTTGTATATAATTTTTGAGATCCTGGGGCCAGTTGTTCAAAACATTTAATCTGGATCAAAATGATCCGGATTTGGAAATCCCATCTTTTCCTATCCAGGATCAGGCAATCCGTCTTACTTCTACCGGTTTTTCAAAGCAACTTTGGACTGGATCACCCTGATCCAGATTCACAGTTTTCAAGATTACCAAATCCGGATTACCAGTGCTGTAAATGGGACAACA